TAATTTTTCTGCCAATACCACAGTGATTATTCCATTCTTCTAAAATACTTGCTGAGTACAGAATTCTGGGTTGGCAGTGCTTTTACTTAGCAATTCGGCCATCATTCCTTTGTGTTCTAGTTCCACTGCTCCACTCAGAAGGCCTGCTGCCAATCTTATCATTGTTTTTTTGAAAGTGATTCTTTTTTCTAAAGATTTTATTTTTCGTCTTTTTAAAAATAGTAGTTTGCTATAATGTTATAATGGGGCTTTTCTGTATTTATATTTGTGGCTTGCAACTTTTCTGACTCTGTGGAATAATGTCTTCTATCATTTTTGGAAACTTAGTCATTACCTCTTCAAACATTGCTTCTGCCCCCCTCTTTACTATTTCCTGGTACTATGTTAAACTTTTTCTTTTTTGATGTGCTGTTTTATGTCCTTATCTGAAGCACCCTTAAACTCCTCTATGCTTGCTTGCTTTGGTTTGGATATGTTCTTGTGATCTGTTACTTATCTGTTCTTCAGTGAGAAGTTCTATATTATGAGGTCTAATCTGATATTAAAAATTATGGTAAAAATAGCATCATATAAAAATCACCATCTTAATAATTTCTAAGTGTAATGCTCAGCAATGTCCAGTGTGTCCACATTACTGTACAACCAATCTTCAGAACCTTCTCACCTGGGAAACCTGAAATTCTACAGTTTAAACAGCAGTCCCTGGCAGTCACTACTGTGCTTTTTGAGTCTATAAATTTGACCATTCCACATATCTAACATAAGCGGGACCATTCAGAATTTGTAATTTTGTGGCTAATTATTTCATTTACAATAATTCTTCCAGATTTATCTTTTTTTTTTTTTTTGTCTTTTTCATTTTTATCAGTACTGGGGATCAAACTCATGACCGCCTGCTTGCAAGGCAGGTGCTTATGCCGCTGAGCTAAATCCCCAGCCCCAATTCTTCCAGATTTATCCATCTTTGACAATTTCCTTTTTCCTTAAGTGGAATGTGCACTGTGTAGATGCCACAAATTGTGCATTCCTCTGTTGATCTGAGTTGTTTCAATGTCTTTGCTATAGTGAACAGCACTACTGTGAACCTGGGTGTGCAAATATTCCTGAGATGACACTTTTCCCCTAATACACCATCACTTTATTAGTGTAGAAGGAGAACAAATTTCAAACAATTTTCAGTTATCCTCTTGAAACACCAAAAGAGTCCTCCTTTTAGGTGGTTCCATTGCTAACATAGTAACAGCATTTACTATGTCATTACTGTTGTTCTTCAAGGCTCTGACTGTCTCTGCCTTCCACACATTTGCTTGTAAACAATTCTATGTCCTTAACCTCACACCTATTTATCAACTTCTTTTTCATTCTTGTACAGTTGGAATCTGTATTTTCTTGAAGTCTGAGACAGCTTCACCTTGAACTCTGGATTTTGCAGTAGCTGCTAACTGTGCTTGCTGAGACAAACCCTCAGTCTTGGCTTCCTTTAAAATTATGTAGGCATCTGAAGCTGGACTCTTGTAGACATCTGGTTTTGGGACAGCCTTAGGCTTCTGGATAGTGATTCTAGTAATCGCTGTAACTTTCCAGTGATCTAGCTTGGAACCAACCTTCTGTGCCTGCTTGTTGCTTGGACTGTTCTGCTTTACTGACTGTTCTTCACGGTGTTTTATCACTGTCAGATCTGTTTCAGACCCTGGCTAAGCCTGGGGCTATGGCAACTCCTGCTCAATAGCAGGGATGACTTCACCATGCATTTTGTGCAAGCACAAGGAACCAAGATGGTGGCCGAAGAAAGAGAAGTGGAATTGGAAACAGAATTGCTGGCCCATATGATAATTGCATTTTTAGTTTTTACAGAAATTATGATACCTTTTCCACAGCAGTTTCACAATTCTGTTTCTACCAACACTACACAAGGATCCTGATTCCTCTACATCTTCACCAATCTTTGCTACTTTGTTTTACTTTTTAAAATATAGTCTCCCTAATGGTAGTAAGGTAATTCCTGAGACTCTTAAAAATGCTCATTCTTTCTTATTCTTCCATAGAAAAATGCCTAGATAGCGTCTAGGGAGGTTCTGGCATTTCTGCACACGCGCGCACGCACACACACACACACACACACACACACGCTGAGAAGTAACTCTCAGTGGAATTAAGAGAAGTAACTCTCAGTCCCTAACTTACCATCCTTGATGTTAAGTTGGTGCAGACTATATCCAATGTTTATTCAAGTTTGAGAGTGACTGTATGATTTTCCCCTTTACCTCTGTGAGAATGAGGGATATTGATAGTTTTCAAATAGCGAATCAGTTGTGTATTTCTGGAATAAAGTCCTTGGACATGATTTGCTGTTTTTTAAAATGCGCTGTTGCCAATATTCTGTTCATAACTTTTTTTTTTCATAACTTTTGAACTGATGTTGAGAAGCGAACAGGCTTTGTAGTTTTTTAGTTTACTTTTTTTTTTTTTTTGTCTTTTTCCTTTTTATCGGTACCAGGGGTTGAACTCACAACTGCCTGCTTGCAAGGCAGGTGCTTATGCCGCTGAGCTAAATCCCCAGCCCACTGTAGTTTACTTTTTGATATTAACTCTTTCACATTTGAGGATCAATAATTTATCGCTTCACAAAATAAGTTTCTCTGTGTTAGTGCTGTACAATACAGCAAGCTGTCATTTCTTACAGTTTAGTGGAAATGTTCCACCAAGTCTTCTGTGTCCAGTGAACACAGTGGGAGCTTACCATGGTCAATTATTGTAAGTTGTATTCTGTCTTAAAATATTTCACCTAGGTTTTTGAATTTATCTACATAAATTATATATTTTCTTCTTTTTTTCAAATCAGATTTTGTTTTTCTTTCTTGGCAGTGTTCAAATTTGAATGTAGGATCTTTTCCTTACTAAGCAGGTGTACTACCACTAAGCTACATCTTCAGCTCTAATCTGATTATTTAAATATCCTATTTTGAGGCCAAGTGTGGTGGCACACACCCGTAATTCCAGCGCTTTGGAGGCTGAGGTAGAGGATCATCATGAGTTCAAGGCCAGCCTGAACTACAGTGAGATCCTGTGTCAAAAAGCACAGCAAACCAAACCAAATCCCCTCATTTCTGCCTTCTGTTTCCCTTGGGAAAACATTCATTGTGTTTGCTTGCTCTTGTGTTTCTTGAAGAACCGCTTTGTAACTTGTTCCAACATTATGCTTTCTTTTCAAATCTTCCTTTTACTCAACTGCTTCGTTTTAGTCTTAATTCTATTTTACACTGTTCTTGTGTAACTTTCAATGTTTGGGGGTCTGAGGCTCAGCTCAGTGCTTAGCTACCAACTTCTGTGCTCACTCCAGCCCAGGTTTCAGTTCACACTGTATCTGTCTATGCCCTCCCTCCCTCTCTTCACTGAAGAGCAAGGTCTTTAGAGACCTATTTCTTTTGAGACCAGTGACAATTCCTCCACTCCCATTAGGACCCAGATGTGTAGGATCCAGCTGTTCCAAAGTGGAAGCACCTCTCCTGGAGACTAGCGAGCTGTGCCAGTAGTGTCAAGGACAACTCTTTTCTTTCTAGAGGTACATGATCTGCTTGGCTAAGCACTGTTGCTGGCTATTTTGCATCAGTTTTCTCTGACACACAGTATGGCCTTTTAGCTAGGTATAGTTTATAACACTAAGACTTGCTAACTCTTATGTATTTAATTCTAGCTTTAAATATATTTTTACCTGTTTATGTTCAATTCTTTTTAACTGTATTTTATTTAGGTCACTTTGGTCATTTCTGTCCTACATGTTCCTTTCTGTGTTTGTGTTGTATATATATATATTTTTGTGGCTTCTTCCAATTTTGTCATCATTGCTATGATTATTTTTTTCTACTTCTCCAGATATTCTGTGTTTTAGTTTTCTATCTCCTGTTTTTATATCCTTTGCTAATCTCTCTGAATTTTCATATTCTGCTTATCACTATTCATAAAGACAAATTAATTTTAAAAATTCACAGCAAAGTCTAGACTCTGAAATATAATCTGTCCCATGACAATACTTTTCTGCTGGGTGTTCTTTGGTAAGTTTTGCTGTTCTTTTCTATGTTTCTCTCATACATGTGTACCAAAGTCATGTTTGTTCTATTTTTATTACCAGGAGCTTCCTGGCTGGGCTATCTGCAGAAAGTTCCTTTGTGTAGTACATTTTTGTTGACATATTTTCAAGCTGCTGTATCAGCTTAGCTTCTGCTACAATTTATCCTGGATGACATCTTTGTTGATCTTAACCACTTTTGGCAATTCTTATTTATTTGCAGTCTGAGGATCACATCTGCTCCCTCATTTCATTATAAATGGAATCTGCTGATGGTTTTTCCATGTGTGATATCCAAAAGAGAAAGAAACTGTTATCCCATGTTGTCTTATTCATGTGGAAAGTTGGGTGGTTCTCCTAATCACTGTTTTATAAACTTTTCAGTATCATATAATAATAGATGGAGAGATTCTTTTCTATAAAATAATCAAGCTAAAATTTTAAAAATTCTTCTTCTTTACACAAATGTGACACACAACTTGATTTTCTGTATACATCTTCTGTAGGCTTTATGAAAATGCAATTTGATGAGTATTTTGTATCATGATGTCAAGAGAAAAGATATTTCAAGATACGTTTCCCACCTACTATCCAAAATTCCACCAGCACAAGAACTCCTGACACCGTATATACCTTGACTGTGTGGCTTCCAGGACCCCCACCTCTACCTGCTCATGCAGCAGCGAGAACAGAAAGCCGAGTGGGGAAGCTGTACCACTGGAGGTGGATGAAGAGGCAGAACAGAACACTAACCAAGTGATGGGGAAAGTAATGGAAAGGGACTGGAACGCCTGAGTGTGCTTCTTTCCATTATTGTTTTGGTCACCAACTGTCGGTAGTAAACCAAAGAGGTGTGAGCCATTCAGGAACAAAAAACCTGACAAAGAAGTCAGGGGTGGGCAACAGTTTCCAGTGCTTTTGTGGGGTGACTTACTTTTTCCAAAACTTTGGCAATTCGGGTGCCAATTTGTTCAAGTGACTGCTGTGGGTACTGGTCTTTGCCAAGATTCTGCAATACCTGGAACAGAAGGGAGACCGCGGGTGAGATGAGTGAAAAGGAGGCAGGGTCCACGTGATGCTGCTGGACACTGTGCTGGACACTGGCTGCCTCTCTGGGACACATGCTGTGGACCTGTCCACTCCCACTTAATAACAATTATAAATGTGTAGAAGACATTTGTTATACCAACATTTGAAAACAAACGGTATAGGGGCTGGGGATTTAGGTCAGCGGCATAAGCGCCTGCCTTGCAAGCATGTGGTTGTGAGTTTGATCTCTGGTACAGATTAAAAAAAAAATAAAATAAATGGTATAAAAACTAGTTGCAATCCTGTCATCCAGACACAGCCAACGTTAACACCACTGTACGCACACATACTCTTTCAAATACTTTTCTATGCATACATATAATCCTTATAAAATACGAGATTACATGGTGTACTATAATGTATGTTTTCAGGTATTCTGAAAATATTTTTATTTTGATAAATGTATTTTTCCTCTTTCCTAATGTGCCACTGTATATTATATCTGTGCCATAACTTGTTCAGCCCATCTTCTTTGCTAGGGTCTGCCTCTCTTTCTTTCCTTTTAAAGAATCACAACAGGAAAATTAACTGCCTCAAATATTTCTCTTAAGGAGCCTCTGTTGATGGTGCGACAGAATACCATATATCTTGAGAGGTAAATAAGAGCTAAAAGTTCAGTTATTAAAAGAAAAAGAAAAAAAAAAGGTGGAAGCTCATTCCAAGGGCCCTGAAAGAAAGTTGGCTGGGTCTGAAGCCACCCAGCAAAAAACCAACAGAAATACAGAGGCAAATGTGCCTTCCACTATCAGCTGCACCGTAACTGTGACTCTCAAGACACAACAGGTTGAAGGAGGCCGAGCACGCACCTCTGTAAGCTGACTCTCGCCCGTGTAGTGCAGGCTGGCTCGGTTAGACACGCCGTGCAAGTGGTCCAGGGTGTGCATGCTCGTGGGGAGGTTACCATTGCACAGGGGCTCTGTCGCTGGCTGCTGTATGGGCGTGGCAAAGTCGATGTGCTCTGTGATGCTGGGAAACAGAGACGACCACATTAGCCGTGGGGATGCCCAGGGGATGGAGAAGGGCGCCTTAACCACCAGCTCATCAGAGCTCCCATTTACCACCCCTCTCCCCAAGGTGGAATTGAAACAAGTGAGTTTTCTTCCAGCATTTCACTTTTCCTGTATGCATAGCATACTTGTCCTCAGGAGTCATCTAAAGTCATCTAAAGGTTAGTCAACTTTACACAGCTACAGCTGTGCATCGTACTGTCGACGAGACATAAGTACTTCCCTTCATGGGCCCAGGGGATCACTTTCTCACTATACACATGCTAACTGGAATAGACTATCTTGTGAACTTGTAGGGCAAAGTGGCTCTGCCAAATTTACCTTAAAAATTTAAATTAGAAAGGTTATAAACAGAGTTCAATATATATTAGGCATTCATTTATTCACTGATCCACTTGTTATTTATCTATTCTGAGCCTACTACGTGTCAGACACCAGGGCAGCACGAAAGAAAACGTACATAGTCCCTGCTCATACTACGCTCCTTGCTCTGTGAGGATGTAGTAGTCACAAAAGGTGAAAATGTGGCATAATGGAAATATATTGTAGGAGGGTAAACATTTCCTCTGTCTGTGGAAGGGCAGTGGTTGCTACCGGGTTCCTTGAAGAAGCGAGACTTAAGGAAAATCAGAAGGATGTGAGCATGGATGAAGCAGTGAGATCAGGGAGAACATCACAGGCAAAGGCCACACCATGTGAGAAAGCCAAGGAAGGGCAGAGCTGAAGACAGAGACAGGCAGGGAGCAGAGCAGGAGGCTCTGTAGGCTGCTTTAAACAGCAGAAGATGTCAGTGGAGAGCTGGAAGAGCATCTGCCCCGTATGCAGGAAGCCCTACGTTTAATCCCCAGTGCTGTACTTAAAAAAACTTACTGAACTGTTTTAGGGGAAAAGATTACTAAGGATGACACCCAAGTTAATGGCATTGGTACTGCTGGAGATATTTACTAAGAATATGAAATAGAAAAACAAACAAAACCAAGACTCTTTTAAATGGTGTTATAATTTAGATCTAAAATGGTCCTTTACAATCTCATGAGTTCAGACGTAGGGCTTTTGGCAGACGCCTGGACCACGGGATGGTGCTGAGTTCACAGTGGAATGTACTGATGGGACCTGGGCCCGGGATGTAGGAGGTACCTACTGGGCTGTGCCTGCGGAGGGCAGATCTCTATGGTTCCCTCATCCCTCTCTGCTCTCTGGCTGCAACTGGTGGAGCAGCTTTCCTGCCCCATGCTTTGAGCTAGCTAACCATGGAATGAACCTTCTGAAACCTGAGCCACAAAGACACATCTCCTTTAAGTTGTGGGCACTGGATATATTGTCCACACAACAGGAAGTGATTAACATAGTTGGACAATGGGCGGGAAAATTATGAATTTTGTTTTCTTGAATTAATGGAGCCTAACAGAGGTACAGACACAAAGGTCTTAAAGATGAGGCCTTGAAGAATGGTCTGGAGGTTGATTTGGGAGTTGTAAATACATCAGTTGGTGACTGAAGTTTCTGGGACTAGATAAGTCTGACCAGGAGTGATTATAAAATAGGAAGGCCTGGGGCAAATTCTAAAGAGGGCAACACAGAGCAGAAAAAAAGTCATAAAATAATATGTGCAGTGAAGAACAGGTGTTGTGTGAGACATGACTCTGTTCAGTTTGCATCTTGGTACATGTTGCTAAGTCTGGGTTTGCTCTGGCTGCATTATAAGCGCATGATGTCCATGGGAGATTGACGCTCAAACTCACACAAAGAGGGACACGGGGAATTGAGTTCAAACCACACTACAGGACTGTAGGTGACAGAACCAAGACAGGAGGCACATTCACTGCATCTGACAGTGATCTGATAGTGCTGAGTCCACCTGTGGGCTGTGACCAGCACTGCCATCCTTTGCTGACCACAGCTCCAGAAGGGTGACTCTTGGGAGAGCTGCTGACACAGAGGGCTTCCCTGTGGGCTCTCTGGCACAAGAATGTTGTGAAGGAAGGTCAGGCTGAAGATACTCACTCAATGTTTTTTGAAGAAACTGCAAGCCAGGTACTCACGATGGCAGTCAGCTCTACCCAGCGGAGTTTGAGGCATTCGTCGGGGCTGGGCCATCCTAGACTCTGGTAGTCACGTTTTTTTCCTAGAAGGAAAATATGCTGTGAATAGACACAACTGCAAAGGAACAGAACACAAGCTCCCGTGTGCCATGGTGCTTACTTCCACCCAGAGCGATGTGTCTGGTGGTGCCAGTCATTCTTGCAGTATTTAGAATTCCCACCATCAACCAACAGGTCTTATCAAAATCTTGTCATCCACGGCAATAGGAATAAAATCATTTTTGAATAAAGCTTTATTCTGGAGACAGTGATGTCAAATTAGATCCTTTAAGATTGATCAATATGAAATACAAAGGGGTATGATATTCTTCAATTTTAACTGTCTACATCCTGATTTTATAAGGCCAACCTTAACCCTGTGCAAATATGTGTCTCTAAAGCAGGGCTCCTCAACCAGGACCTGTGGACAGTGAGGTGTATCACGATTTGCCCCTGAAGGGCATTCACAGCTTCCCTGGCCTCTACTCAGCCCTGCCCCCATCTTGACAACCCAGGTGACACTGCTGGTTCTCCTCTGGGGCAGAATCACCTCTAGTAGAGGACCGCTGCTATAAAACCAAGCATCAGGGAGGAAATAATGATAACCAATGGTTACCATTCACTTTTAAGAGCATTTATTGTGTGTCTGGGTCCTATGCTTAAGTGGTTTTCATTTGTAACCTCATGAGGCAGGTTTTATCTTCACGTCTCAGATGATGAAACAAGGTGCAGAGAGGTTAACTGACTTGCCCAAAGTCAGCTGGCCAGTAGGTGGCAGCAGACCTGGAATCCAGACCCACCTTGTAGGACACTCACATTCACACTCCCAATCACCACGCTACTTAACGCTATTCAGGGACTTTTACAGTTCTATTTATTGGTATCTTTTTCATGCATAACTTTTTGGGTCCAGGTTCATCACTGAGTGTGATTCCTAAGAATGGAACCTTATCTGGGACGGGGTCTTCTGAAGGAACAGAATAGAAAGGGCAAGAAGGGGAAATTCACTTCTGTATAGCACTTTTTATCCTTGGGGAATTTACTAACAAAAAGTGAGATTGAGATTTTTATACAATAGAACAGTTTGGAAGACTTTCAAATTAACTTTCAATTAATCACTCTAAATGAATCATACATTTCACAAAGCTTATTCTCCTCTTTTATATTTAAGAAATTCATTTGAAAAGTTATTTATTGAGCACCAATCATAAGGGGCTGGGGATTGCGGACAACACTGGGGGTACAGACAGGAAGAGTGCGACAGCCTGCCCTTGAGCTCACAGTCTAGTGAGGAGGGTAAACATAACAGATCATTGGGATACTGTAGGGTCAGAGCTGGAATGAAGGAATAAAACAATTGCACCGAGGAAAGCGCAACTGATTCTGCTCGAAGGTACAAGGAAGAGATGGCACTGGAGTTTGAAGTCTAAGGATGAGTGCTATCTTAGACGCGGAGGTGGCATAAGGGCATTCCAGGCAGAGGGAACAGATGTGCAAAGGCACAGATGTAAATAAGAGCACGGATGTTCAGAGTGGTGCCGAAGGGCAGAGAGGCCGGGCTGTAAAGGGTCTTGTGCACCACACTAGGAAGTCTGTGCTTTTTCCTGGAGGCAATGGGAAACTTCGAACCCACATCTCTCCATCTTGTTCACAAGGATATCAAGAGGCTCTGTTAAATGCCTTGCTGAAATCCAGTTACATTATGTCTATGGCACTTCCCTGGTCTTCCAGTCTAGCAGCCCTAACCAAAAAAAGGAAATGAAATTAGTTAAGCATTATTATTAGTTCTTAATAAATCTCTAATGGCTCTTAATGATCTCCATTCTTCCCCTGCAGGCTCATGATCTATCCGTTTACTAATTAGGTTTAGAACTTTGTCCGGATTTACTAGAAAGCTCACTAGGTGACAGGGACAGAATCCATATTTAGAAATTGGGATAGTGAGCCTCTCTAGAATTTTTCCATCTCCTCCAAGCTTTGACGTTTTCACTTGAATGATAGCCAGTGGGTCTGTGATCTCCATTGCAAGGACATTTGATGCCCTGCTTGCACCCACCAACCTGAGTCTCCCTTCAACTGCTGAAGTGCTTATCACTTCAACCATACATGATTTTAAATTTCACTATTATCAGACAGTTCTAGTTTTTGTTTATAAACCACAATACAGAATTACTGTAGATTATTTCGAAAATGGAAAACCCACAGAGAAAAAAAAAATAAAAATTACCTACAGCTTTTTCAGCTCCCAGGGTTGATCACTTATAACATCATAATGATTTCCTTCTTGATTTGCTTATTATAGTGAATCAAATATTTCATCAAATCTAAGACATCATTAATGGTGAGATATAGATAACATATAATTTAAGATAGAAAAAAGCCTATCAGCCATTATATAAGACACAATCAATTGTATCTCAATAAAAAGGTATAAAAATGTAAAAAAAATGTAACTGACAAAACAGCATATTTATCACAGAATAAGAACTGGAATAGTCTCCATTTTATAAATTGCTTTTGCTCACTTAATGTACGTTGGTTGCATAGTATGCAGCACTGACCTGCTGTTATTTTTTAGGCAATTAAGTATTAAGGTTGTTTATAATCTTTTACTATGGTGACTCCATGATCAATATCTTTGTATTTACATCTTTGGCAACTACAAGGTGATTTATTTAGGCTAAATTAGTACAAGCAGAATTACTAGATATTTTTAAATTTTCTGATGTATCTTGTCAAACTACCCCAAAGTTCATTTTATTAATTCTCACCACGTGTTACAAAATTGAAAATGTAAGAAGCAGAAATGGTAACTCACTCTTCATGTCTGCATTCCTGATTGCTAGTACGCTAAAACTCTTTCACATCTTCAGTACCACATATGTGTGTAATATGTTACAAATTTCATTAAGATATTATAGTTTTCATACTGAGCTGTAGGTACTGCTCTTTAAATGATATCAGTATTTTTTATTTATATATCTATATACATATAGACCACATTAAGTCTATCAGTCCATTATCTTTTTATTCTGTGGTGTTTTCTACTGCCAGAATTTTATTGTTTTTCATTTATTTATTTATTTTTGTGGTACTAGAGATCGAACTTATAACCTCGTACTTGCCACTGAGCTAAATCCCTGGCCTGTATTTCTTTCTTTGCCTTTGAAAATTCTCCACCTGAAGCGCATACAAATATTCATCTAAATTTCCTTCCATCATGACTTGTTACATCCAATGTTTAATCCAGCAATTTTTCATTTCTGTGTTTTACAATTTGAGAACAGTTTCACTGAGACAGAGACAGACCTAAAAGAGGGAAGTTTCTTTCTTGTGATTTGTTAACAAATGCCAGCTTCCTCAGTAGGCCGACTAATTCAAGTTTTTTTTTTTTTTAACCGCTAGTCAGACCAAATACCCTTCTTGGTGCCCTCAGAATTTTTTACGAGCTCACTTTGAAATCTAGCCAAGCTGATTTTCTTTTTATTTTATTTTGTGCCTTCTGCTCTCAGCTTTGGTAACTAAACAAGACATTTTAATGAACTGAAATTTCATTTTAAAAGGACAATATAAGTATCCTTGTAAAAGAATACAACATTTTTTTAAAAAAGGAATTCTATCACCACAATTTAACTGTTGGAAGTAAAAGTCTACTGCATTCAGGGTGCTGGCCTTAATTTGGGGCTGCAGATGAGCTTCAGGATAACTGAGTGCTTCAAAATACACATTAAACTTTGAGGTAATGGGTTTTTTTCTGGGAAAGAGCTCTAAACATTTATCCAATATTTAAAGGAGGTATGTGGTGCACAGACACATCCTAGACAGTATTTACTGAGGCCGATGCGCCCAGTGCATAAAGCACTTCATGTACACGGTCCTCACTGCCATCTTCTAGTGTACATGTGATCATTTTTCCTGTTTTATAGGTAAGAAAAACCAGGAACAGAAAAGTAGATGGCCAACCTATTGGTTGAAGGCAGGGAACCTGCCCCCACTCACACTTTTATACATATTACAACGGGTTCTTGTATTAGAAAGAACAGGGTATTTAAGCTTTAAGTGTTAAAGAGTACAAGCCAAAGAGCCAGTGGTTCAAAAAGTCAAGTAAATGTCAACAGGAACGTTTTATACCAATGCCCAGTTCTGCCTTTCACCTTCTCATTTGAACTGTTCTAAGGCACAAGACATCTTGCGGAGAAATAAGAGTGAAATCTAAGGGAAGAAACTGGCATCCTAACACTAGAATTTACCCTGTGGCCCTGGAGATGCCACCTTTGGGCCGGTGATCTCCAGGTTTGCTTGGTAACGGGGTCCATTTTCTGCTTGGTTCGATTCTACCTTTTTCCCAGGAGTTTTCTTATGCTCTCCTTTGGGTTTCTTAACTCGTTTGACCTGGAATGTGATCTGTGAAACAGAAACATGTTAGGGACAAATGACACTGATGATCAGATTGGTCACTTACTGCGGATACCAGCGGCTTCCAGAATAACCCAGATGGATAAACAACTTACTGCTCTGATCACGGCACACGGTATACTTGAAATATCAATGTATTCCATGATTATGTATAACTATTATGTATCCACTAAATTCTAAAATATATAGTTTGAAAAGGAAAAATCTCAGGCTTGTGCTAGAGTTAAGATCTCTCCTTACATTTCACTGTTTTCCTTTTTTTTTTTTTAAATTGAGATAGGATCTCACTAAGTTGCCTACCCTGGTCTTAAGCAATCTTCCTGCCCTGGGCTCCCCAGTGCTGACACTAAAGGTCACTGCACTCTAGTAAGCTGAATTCTTACAGGTCTAACTAAAAAATGATTAACAAAATGAACAAAATCACCAGTCCTTAGAGAGTACAGAGCAGACACTGAAAAGTGAGATCTCCGACCTGGGCAGTTCTAGGTCTGCAGGCTCTGACCACAGCTTTACACCCATCCCATCCTCCTGCCTCCCCGAAGAGCCGGTCTGAGCAGTGTGAAGAGCTGCCCGAGCACAGCTCCAGTGTGAAGACTGTCCTGTACTGTGGAGTAAGTAGGGGCACAAACTACACAAAAACTTCAGCCTTTGCACAGTAGGAGCCCTCGCAAAGACTCAGGCTACAGTCCTTCAAGGGCTGCACTGGCGAACTCTTACCCATTCTGTTGCTTCGTCGTCTTCGCTTCTGCAGTCTCCATAGCAAGAGCTTCTGGCCACTCCATCCTGGGGACCTTTCTTCAAGACCCGAATCCCCTGTAAGTCTAGACGCCTCCCCTTCATCTCTAGGCCTCCCCCAAAGCCTTCCAGGGGCCACGCCTGTTGGAATTCATCCACCAAAGCCAGTATCTCTTCTGACATCTTTGTTTCATCTGAGTTCTCCATTTCATCAGAACCATTGCTTTCTTCGACCACTGTAGCTGAAATTCAAGGGTCAGCATATTACAACAGCTCCACATAGCTCACTCAAGTACTGTGCAACTCTAACCGTGCTTCTACGAAGACTGTCCTACTTTGGGGCATTTTTGTAGCCTACCTTCAGAAAAATGCCATCATTATCTTCAAAATCCCTAATGGTGCATCATTTCTGTCATGCAGCTTTGGTCAAAAGCCTGGCTAAGAACGATGGCAGTAGACAAAGGGTAAGCATTCACAGAGTATGTCTCTAGTGAAGATGGAAACAGCTGTGCTATGTTTATTTTTTGAGAGAAGATTCACGTCCAGATGATAAAGATGAAGTTTACTATGGGTATGTAACTTAACACGTGGGATTCTTCAAACTTTATTCTAGTGTCAAGAAATATGACAGCTGCATAGCAGGCCGATATGGTTGGCTTACCTACCTTAACTGAACACTGAACAACAATTTCTTTTTTTTTTTTTATTTTTTTTTTTTTTTTATTTAAGAGGAAAAAGAGAAAAACACAAAACAAACCAATGCGGCGTAAGGGTACACGCAATACAGAACTACAAAACAAAACAAAACAAAACAAAACAAAACAAAACAAAACAAAACAACATAACAGTAAGAAATCACCTGCTAGTAGATTACACACTATCTTCTTGAAAATAGTTCCTCAAATCACAGTATCAAAGAACACAAGGTGGACATTCAAACAAGAAGACTGCAAACAGCTGTGTTCAATGTTCCAAAAACATTGATAAAGTCAGCTATTTAACACTCCCAAACACACTTGCTGTTATATCCGTTAGAGCTCTTTTTCTTTTTTTTTTTTTCCCTCTCTTTTTTACAACAAAATTTACACATCTTGGATTTTATTACTCCTTAGTGCTTATTACTTTCTTTGGGGGGGGGGAAGAATACAGTCAAATATGGCAAAACAAAGCTGTCAGTCAATACCAAGGATAGACATAGCACATGGTGTAGAACAGAGTACAAGTTTATCAACAATGGTTATCAACGTTGTCCCTTGTTTCTTAAAAAGAATTGTCTATCTTATTAGATATTATAATGTTGGACAAAACAGTAGAGAACAAGACCAATAAAACTTAGGCATTGTAAACATTACAGGACTTCCAAAGAAGACAATAGTCAAACCAGAATGGGTATCTTAGTGAATCTTATTGTCTTCAAAGTAGTTGCCTATTTCTTCAAACTTGATACTATCATATAGAATGGAACAGAGTCTAATCAGTCAAAACAAGATCGTGGGAGTACTACAGGACTTCAAAACAAGTTAATAGGAAATCGAAAAGAGTTACTATTTATATATCCTAATTTTTTTGAATTTTTTCTTTAATTAAGACAAACATAAGAAATGACTAAATAATTTTTTTTGAAACAATAAGGGGGAGATTGAGATAAAGCAGGACATAACAATATAACAATAGAGGTCACAGCATGACTGTTTCAACAACCTAGTACTTCACCACCTTATAACCTGACTTAATAGTAGTTACCATAGTGTCTTTTTCCTTGAAATATTTGGATAAAACTTCATATACTCTAGCTTCAAATATTTTCATATCAAGAAGCCCAGAATAAAGCCTTTCTAATTAATGAGTGAAAACTTTATAAGGCTTCAAGGCCACCTAATGGGGAATCATGATTACCACATATTTTTATATATTTGAATCATTATTTACATTAGGGAAACTATTCGGTATTCACACATGCGAGATTGATTTATTTCACTAATGAGTATGGTCTCAAGCTGCGCCCATTTATTGATAAATATCTCAATGTGATCCTTCTTTATAGCTGAATAATACTCCATTGTATAGAAATACCACAACTTTTTTATCCATTCCTCAGTTGATGGGCACTTGGGTTGTTTCCAAGATCTGGCGATTACAAATTGTGCTGCTATAAACATAGGTGCACATATATCACTGTGGTATGATGCTTTCATGAACAACAATTTCTTCAACAACAAACCACCCTAATTCCACATGAAGATTTCTATTTTCATAATGACTGATAAAAGCAGTATCAATACACTAGAATAATATTTTTCTAAAATGTTTATTAAGATAAAATTTATGCTGCTCAAGTATATAAAGACTCTGATGGATGTGTCGCAGTGCAATGACATAGCAAAAATCCTCTCTCCTGAGAATGCAGCATGTTTTCTTTATCACCCCATGCAGGCCACACAACCCTCCAGGTTCCCCTCTCTGCTTAGATAACGAGGGAGCTCAGGGCAGATAATTGTGAGTTCTGAAAAACAATGCTTTCCTCTGCTAAGTTCTTTACCAATTACATTTTGTTGTTTATTTTGCATTAAAGGTGGCACCTTACATTACATGCTCAATGAAAGTTATCTTTAATTGTTTATGTAAGTAGATAAAGTACAGAAACAAAATGCTTCTGTTAGAAAGCAAGTTTGAGCTCAGCGAGGTCAACCTAGTGACTTGGCAAGAACTGTCTGGGGTTGTGGAGAGAGAGAGAGAGAGAGAGAGAGAGAGAGACAGAGAGAGACAGAGAGAGAGAGATTCAGATGTAGCTCAGTTCCAAGACCCTGATTTTAATCCCCTGCACCAATTTTTTTTTTTTAAAGCCTGCTTTTATAACTTGCACCCAGATACCCTGAGAGCTGGAGCTTAATGGCTCACAGTGTTACCTGTGATTCCAGGGCAACAGTCTTCAGCTGGCAAATTCTGGCTTGTTCAGGGATTCCTAACATGGTAGTAATAATTTGGCCCATGTCAGGATTCTCATACTGATTAGGACAGTCAGAGTAGGCTCAAGGCCAGGGAGGATTTTTTTTAATAGCATGCATACACAAGCTCATGTACACACACAGCTACATACATACAGGGATAAGGAGGAACTGTATGAAGGCATTACTGATTTCAAATTAATCAGAACAAAGAGTGTATGTGAGGATAGCAGTAACTAAGATTCTCAAAGAAGGTGGGTATGGTGGGTTAAAAACTGGTGGTCACCTTAAAACACCAGCTAAGTGTACATGGTCCACCCGAGGAGAGTTGTCAGCACAAAAAGGAGACCTGGAGAGGAAGAGTAGCCTTGTGGATTCTCCAGCACTGATGGTGTCTGGAGCTCTTGGTTCTCCTGGAGAAGCTTGTCATGTTGGCTTCCCTAATATGAACTCAGCCATTATCATCGGAGGAGCTTAGAACCTTGTCACTAAGAATGGCTGTGGTTCAGTTTTGGAGACTCTGTTCCTTACTTTGAGCACTGCTTCTGGCTCTGGAGGGGAAGATGTGTGCTGTTCAATCTCCAGAAGCTTTTTACACTGGCTTCCTGATACAAATTTGGCTGTTTTTATCCTCAGAGCAGCTTGGGACCTCATTGTTGCTGGGGATGACTGTGGTACTTTTCAGGGAAGCCGTGCTTCTTATTTTGAGCATTGCTTCTTGGCTCCAGTACAGAACCCTCAGCCTACTGGCACAGAGCCTTCACCCTTCTGGCATAGATGTTCTAGTTTCCGCCACTGACCTTTGGGCCTTCCCAGTGCAGATCCATGAAACAGACTTGCATGAGTCATTGTCATGGGCTCTGGGCCTCCAGCTGAACTTCTGGGGGGCACTGTCACGGGCTCTAGCTCTTTACCTGGACTCATGCAGGATATTGCCATGGGATCCAAGCCTTTGGCTGGATTCTCTAGGTCTTTAGCATGTGGACAGATTTCCTGCACTGTTTTTGTATTTGATTCCTTGGGTAACCATTACAAATAATACTATAAATCATGTTTCCTGTACATGATTGTTTACCTGGCAATCCTTGACTACAATAAAACTGATACCAGGAGAGTGGGGTTACTGCTGTGATGCTGCCTGGCCATGTGGCCTAAGAGCCTTGGGAATTAATTTGGAAACGTTTTTAAGAGGCTGGCCAAAGAGACAGCTCCTGTATGCTGTAAACTATACTGGAAACTCTGATTGGAGCCTGGACAATCAGAGTACTGATAGAAATGCTGCCAGTTAGGATGAAGCTCAAGAAACTTCTATTGAGAAGGATTGCTTTGGTTGCTGGACCCCAGGTGGTATACTGTTTCTTGGATGAAAGTTGGTCTGCATTTTGCTTGTGTTTAGAGATATTGTTTGGGTGAGAGAAAAATTTCAGTGCAATCTACTGTTGAGATGGTAGCATGGTTACTGCTGAGAGCTTTTGCCCACATCTATGATGGAAATTTAGAGCAAAGAGCCAATAAAGTAATTCGAAGCATTTGGCCAGATAGAAGGCTCAGTGGAATTATGGGCTGCAAGGTTGACATGGAGGAGAATGTGGTTGTTTAGAAGAACAGGACAATGGAAAAATGAACTGAAGTTTTACTTGAAGGGAAGAGTATATTTGAACTGCAGTAGATCCTTGTTTTTCAGTCTTGCCGTGCCATGTTAAAAGCTAATGGGAAGCAAGGACTGCGATTGTAATAGTTGTTTTAACACAATTTTAATGTTGTATTTAGATATATGTTTGTAATCAGGTTAATCAAAGTACTGTGTTTTAACCTTAAATTTTGGTCACCCTTTGAATATTTTGCTTTTGGTGTGAGAATGAGTGCATTAAGAATTGTATATAGGTAATTGTAATTGTTAATATAAATCTGAATAGACCAAGGTATGTTAATTTTTCACAAATCTGCCACTAGAGACTATGGTTTAAGGAAATAAGTATGGTTATCAAGTTGACCAGCAGTGGACTGTGGTAGATTAAAAACTGGTGGTTAACTTAAAGACCAGCTGAACTGAATCAGTGTGGTGCTATGTGTAGGTGGCCCACTTGAGCAGATGCCAGCACAAAAAAGAGGCCTGACAGGGAGACTAGTCTTGTGGTTTTTCCTAAGCACTATTGTTGTTTGGAGCTGTTGGTTCTCCTGGAGGAGCTTTGTAATGCTGCCTTCTCGGATATGAAATTGGCTTTTACCACTGGAGGAACTTGGAACCTTGTCACTGAGAATGCCTGTGGTTCAGTTTTGGAGATCTCTGTTCCTTA